AATTAAGCATAAAAATCAGAGACATGAGATATAATTTTGTTGTTTTTTTTCTTGTGTATCAATCAAAAAGTGAAATAAAAAATCTTATACAATTTTTATTAATATTAAAGATAACATTTTAAATTCTAAATTCAAGAAACTGTTTATATTCATATTCATATGGGTTTTTTGAGGTCGAGACTATACACATAACCCTCTATGTTATATCCTATCCCCTATTGTTTTTATTATTTTTTATTATATAATATATTATAATATTAATATTTTTATTAAAAAAACTAGATAAGAAGCCCCCGCTTCGCGGGGCTTGGATTCGACACTTATGTCAAAGAAAACCGATGGAAGACATTAGGGTAAAGATGGTGTCATCGTTTATAAGTCGTTTGTCATGGAACTATGATGCTATAATTGGTTGACTATGAAAGTATGATGCTTAAAAAATGAAATAAAGTAGAAGCCAACTGAGATATATTCTCTTTTTAAAACACATATGTTGGGTACAAAATTAATTTAACCAAATTTAGTCAAAGGCAGCACCAGCCCAAATTTCTTACTACTCCAGCTAGACCAGCTAGACCTCATGCATGGATTTTGATTCTACTGATTCCAACCTGTTAACAAAAAGAGATTAAAAAAAAAAGTTGCCCTTTCAATCATGCTAAAATTCATATAATGATATGGGATATTATATGAAGACTAAAAAAGTCAACAGAAGTCAAACTTTTCCACATCTAGTCTGTAATCTGGGGAAGAAGCAATTTCCCCAGGTCCTAAAGTTGTTAGTACGGTCTCCTTCTTCTTGAAGGCTGCAATTAAAGAAAAAATAATATGTTATTAAAACTAATTTGAGAAGAATCCATCAACAATTAAAGTTGAAAGATAAAATTACTTTTTATTTTACTCTTCATCAATAGTTTATATTTGAAGGTTATTGTTATTGATATCAATTAGGCTATAAAAGACAAAAGGAAATTGGTCCTTATGATAAAGATGTTAGAAGAATGACTTATCTGTATAACTAAAATCATCACACTTAAAGCCCCTGACATCAAGTAAATATTTAGCCCTAAAATCAGTTACACTTTTAGAGCAAACAAAAATTTTCATGAATTAACAATTCGAACCTAATATAAATAATCAAAGAAATGCATGGACCTTAGAGGAAAACAAAAAAACAAAGGAGAATGTGAGGCCTGACAAGAACGATTAAACAATAATCGAATGATTGAGCCACGAATCTAAAAAAAACTTAAAATCATCATTACGATTAAACAATAATCCAATGATTGAGCCACGAATCTAAAAAACTTGAAATCATCATTCATCAACATACCTCGATATCTGTCAGCACCATCCGTGTGTAAAAGTACTTACCTAGACCACACAACGGTGATGCATCAGCAGTCCATTTGGAATAATGATTCCAATAAGGAAATAAAATTAGAAGAAAATAGAGGTTGTAGAAGAGAAGCATAATCTGAAATAAACAACCAAAAACATTTTTCATCTGAAAACAATGCCCTCTGCTTATTGATGAGCAACTTCGTTGCTTTAGATATCAGTTATGGAAACCTGAAAAAGTTTGAAGTAGAAGTTTTATATCCTGTTTAACTTGGACAGTATCTGTGTAATGAACAATGATAAATTAAGCTTTTTTTGTTGGAATAGGTTCTTAATTCACTAATGATTCTAAATTTTAAAGAGTGTTACGAACTTGTCAGTATCCACAATCTTTTGGATTATCCATGAAATCGATATTTATCCTTTTGGAATGTCCAACTCTTGCAAATAAACAGAAAATAATAGACATTAGAGTGTAGAATGTAAACAATCATAAAAAGTACATAAAAGCTATAGCATAATCTTGATGTCTTGTTTTGATGATATATTAAAATGTGCATGAGATATTCATAAATCATACCTACAGGGATAAATGCGAAGTCTACTATCCTTTGTTCAATGTCTATCACTTCCCCTTCTCAAAAACGTCCCTGAGCTTGTACGTAATCTAAAAAATAGAAGTGACGGATGTTATTAACCTGTCATTAAAAAAACCAGTTGTATTCATATGATATTATTCAACTGAAATATAAGTAAAAAGATTAAAAAAATGTCAGGACAAACCTGCTATCTTTGGTTTGACCAAGCTTGCTATCAACAATTGTTGAGTTTTCCATGTGAGGGTTGGCATGATTTATCAAATAATCACACTCTTCTTTTGACTGTTTCATAACATTAATCAGAGTCAATACTTAATGTTCAATACTTCAGTATCAATTATATGTTATGTTCCTACCAATGTTGGTGTTTATTTTTGACATGATGCATTAAGTGCAACATAATAGACAAAGCCAAGAGAATGAGACGTACAGAAAGTAATGGATAATTATGTGTGATATAGAAGCTAAAAGCCATATAAATATTATCTAGGAAAGAAGAAAGGCTACTCACCAAGATATTGTGATAAACAAAGGCTCTAGGCTTCCAAGAGAGAAATAATATATCGTCTCCACTGCCAATCCCTTTTACAGAAAAACTTTTCTGTAAAAAAATAACAGATTTATATTTAATATATTCAATAGAAGAAAAAAGAAACGACAGCAGCGTACGGTTTCGATTTATGAGGAAAGGAAAACCATGTTAATTTACCTCTGATGATACTGCAGATCGGAAAAACTCTTGTTGGGATTCTCTAGCGGCTCCATAGGCCGTTGGTCCCTCCTCGCAACCAAATCGAATCTATGATATAGCAAAAAATCAAAGAAAAGGAATCAGATGGAATCAAACTGAAGTACAATTTAACTTTTGTTTATTCATTCAGACATTTATGCATTCAAAAGAAGATAAGACAGAGAGAAGATGATTAAGAGCTCAGTGAAATCTTACCCAAACGGCAACAACTGTAGTCGATCTTCCCTTTGAAACGCAGTCCATCTTCCCTCTCGATATTTACAATCCTTTTTACAAACAAATTAAATTTAGAGATTGTTGTCTGCGAAACAAAATCCATGTAGAGAGAGAGTAAGCGACACACACAGAGAGACCAAGAGTTTGTCATCGTCGACGACCCACCTCCTCTCTTGCAGTTGGTATGTCATCGGTAAATGCTTTCCCTCCTGCTAAATGCTTACTCGGGTTCCTCTTGAAAAGCCCTAAAACAGAACACGTATCAACCGGAGACGATGATTGGTCGAATTTAGGGTTGTTACCGGGAGTATACACGGAAGTGAAGTCAATGGATGAATAAGGCGAATAGAGGTGAAGTCGATGGAAGAATAAGGCGATGGATAATGAGTTCCGATAAAATTAAAAAGGCGAAGATGAGGTGGGACGTCAACCATCAAAACACGCAACACCCAAAATCAGACACCACCAACACAACATACGTTGATTTTCTTAAAATCGAACCCAAATAGAAATACAAACAGTTGATTAGAACGTAAATTGTGCAAGAAATCAGAAACTTACATGGACGTGACTGCTGTCGGCGACAATACTCTCTTCGTCCTTGTACGAAGGAGGCAATGATTATTCTTGAAGACAGTAGAACAAAGCAGGTGGGTATTAAAAAGGGAATGTGTAAAAGATGATCGGAAGAAATTGGAGGCAAGGCCACCAGAAGGATGTAAATCAATTGAAAGGAATAGGTTACGGTGGAACCATGGAAGGAAAATGAAAGCGATGGAAGGAACCAGAAGGTAGAAGACGGATATTGATGGTGGAGAGTTAATCTAACCGGGAGGGAAACCTGATAACTAGTACTCGTATGTGGTAGTGTTAAACCGACCTCCTGAGATGAAGACACGTTGCTGCATGTTGGAAGACTTTGATTGGAAGTAAGAAACGGTGAATAACTGTGAGTAAAACATCTATTAAAAAGAAGGTTAGAGAAGCCTATGAGTCGGTGAGGCTGATATGGACAGAATTAATAATAATAATAATGCAACTTCAGCAAAAAAGAAGGACGAATTATGTCAATCCCTTAGCTACTTTACTATAGCTAAGGGTAGACAATTTTAATATATTGTATAAGTTATCATATACAATGATTTGACAACATTTCAAATTATTTAAATATTATAATTATTTATATTTAATAATATACTAAACAATCGTTTTTTTCTTAAATATTATTTTCTTTTATTATATACAATTGTTTGTCTTATTTTTTAAAATAAAAAAAATAACAAAATAGTACTGATAATAATTTTAGTTACAATTATTAATATATTTAATTGAAACATTAATAATGATTACTATATTTATTTATTTAATCTTAAAAGATATGTTATATCCTTAAAAGGTTTTACGGAAAAGATTATATTTTTGAATAATTTATGTTTTAATAAAAATAAATTAAAATCTATATTTAATCACTAACTTTGTATATTTAAACTAAACAATTCAATTATCCAAATTAAAATTAGTTTATTTTGGTTTATGGTACGCGAGAAAAATTAATTAATAACTAAAGTTGCATATAACTAACAAAAATATAAATTTGATTATTGCGTTTATGAATTATGACTAGTATTTATGTAGAAAACAAATAGCAATATGTTTTACTAATTTAATAAAAAAATGATAATAATTTATTTGGAATTTTATTTTTTATAATATTTTTTATATTATTATATTATATAAACAATATTATTGTTGTTTTTTTATCTTAATATAACATAATTAATATTAATAAAGTTAGTAATAATATGGTAATGATTTATCATTATTCACCTAAACAATAAACCTATTTATATAGATTAATGTTGTATATTGGTATGTCACTGATAAAAGAACAAGTACGTTTCAAAAATGATATAAACTGTTACACATTTTCCATAGCTGATAAGTCACCGTCACCAAGATTTTCAGTCAATAATCAATATTAACCAAACCACGTCGTTTTGACAATTAAAAATCTTTGTCAATTATCTCATTCATAAAGATGGATTTTGTTAATATCCCTGTATAAATGTCCGTGAGAGTTGGAACAAATCATTATGGCTTATCGACAACTTATTGTTCCTCTTCTCGATCCTTCCTCCGCTATCGATCCTTCCGCCGCTATCGGCACAGCGACGCGTCCTAAAATGAGCCGAGCCGGTAACTATGCGGTGTTTGTCATTGCTATGCTTGGGCCGGCGTTATCATTTGATGTTCAACCAGATAACTTCAATGTGGTTCTTAATCTCTCTGTTACCCTAGCGGCCTGCGTCATATTCACTGAAGTCTGCTCTTTCCTTGTTGAAACGAGCGATAAAGTTAGGAATAGCCTTAAGTTGATTAAACTAGGAATGATTCGGATGTCCATGGTCTCAATCGGTATCGGATATCTCTTTCTGGCCTCAGACAAAAGCCACAAAAATCTGCGCATCAACAATGTCATAATTCGTCCAATCCCTGCAGTTTTAATTTTCAAGTGTCGTAGATCGAGGATCGTTTCTGGAGATCTATTGGGTGCTATCTGGAACCTGCTACGATTCATATGGAAGCATCCGATTGTCTCGTTAGTCGTCCTTTCCATTGTTTTGGCTGCTCCAATTTCAATCCTCTTCAATCATTTGGTTGGGGTTGCTGTTTTGGTTTGCATTGTTCTATTTGGTTTGCTACTTAAAATGTTCATAGGCTCTGAATCCTCAGGTAAATTCTCGATTACCTGGTTTCCTTTGATGGCCTGATAGTATATTTTACAATGTTGTTGGCTAATAGATAATAGATATTATCAAATACAGTAGATATTGCTGCATATGTAATCAATTAGAATTTTAAACATTTTGATATATTTTTTTCTGGTATTATTCTTTCGACTGTTTTCCGGATCTGCACAGCAGAAACAGAAACAGGTATATTGAGCCAGACGAAGGAAGATAAGATAGACAATTTTAGGGCAAAGTGTTAAACTTTTTGGATTGAATGAACACACACTCTTGCACTCAGCAAGGCAAATAGAAGAAGGAATTGTAGGGTATACACTCTACACACAAGAGGTTGTGTATTTTCTGCTACTAATAATACAAACAACATTGGGTGCCTTATCTAGCTTGCACAAATTCATTAAACTGACCACTACAAAATATACTTGTCTCGGTATCTACTTAATTTATACTTAAATTTTGATTTCATTTCATTATGGCAATGTTGTTTGGATGATAACATGTTGCTGCTGTCATTACAAGTTTATAAATTATAACTACTACAGGTTCTATATTCACTTAATGGCGCTGTTGTTTTAAATTTTGGTAAAAATTGCAAGTTTATCAAAGATGGAAGATATGGAGAATTAACTTCACAAAATTTTATAGGCACTGGTGCATTTCGAAGAAGAGGGTCGCATATGGATATAGGTGATTTGTGCATGGAAAATTAGTATCATTATTTCGTTGACCATTTTATGCCTTAGAGAGTGTTACTATATATTCATATGAATTTTAGCAAAAAAATAGTAACGTAATTTTTTTCTAATTATATCACTACAAACAAAATATAAAACCAATCATTGCAAAGTATGAAGCGTAGTAGAATCAAACTGGCCATAGCTTAATACTATTAGTTCTCGATAAGCATTACTGGAAACTTCAAAGTCATATTTACTTCAATTCGTATATAATGAAAAATCTAGCTATGTATAATAGATACGATGCACAACTCAATATTGTTAACATTACATGCTTTCGTTGGTCTAGCGTTCTTCTAGAAAAAAGAAAAAGAAGGAAATTTGAACTTTATATAATAAGATGAACCATGCAGATTTAGATTATGAAATTGGAAATAGGGGTGGGAATCTATTTAGTTTATGAGTCCGTCTGTTTTCTCGGTTTGAAAGTTTATTTTGTCAAAATCGAAAACCAAACCAAATGGAATTCGTGTCTATGGGGACCATACCGAAAACTGAAGAGTAAATTACACAAAGGGTCCCTGTGGTTTGAGGTAATTTGCACGTTTGATTCCTAATTTATTTTTGTTAACTCGAAAGGTTTCTACTGTTTGTTTATATTGCGTGTTGTTTATGTTGCGCGTTTTGTCCCTGATTAACCTAAAAAGACTATTATGCCCTTGTTAAATTTATTTTTAAATTTTTTACTTTAAAAGAAAGCATATTTAATAAACAAATGCATATGGTTCCGATCCCAATCTCTTATTTCTTTCCTCCGTTCCCCGAAAAAAGATTCCGACAACAACTGCATGTCAACTTCGACGACCACCATCAGTGAACTCTAGCAACCACAGCCAAAACCTATTTCTTGCTATAAGCACAAGTCGTTCCAATCCTTCGTGGTGTCCAACTCTTTGGTCACCTTGATGGAACCACACCAGCACCAGCCGCCAAAATCACCATAGGAACCAGTGAGGCTAGCAAAGAGATAGAGGCTGCTGACAAAGAACAAGCAAATCCAGATTATCAGACCTGGGTAATCCAGGATCAAGCTATGATCGGACGCTTCTATCCTCCATGACTGAGGAAGTCCTCCCTCAGTTAATTCGTTGCACAGGCACAACACAAGAACTGTGGACATCGCTCCACACTATGTTCTCAGCCCAACATCGCGGTAATTCAATACAGATTCGTACGCAGCTCTCCACAACAAAGAAAGGAGATATGAGTGCCGCTGAATACTATCAAAAGATGACTGGTTTCCCTGACACCATGGCCAATATTGGTTAACCTATGAATGATGAAGAAGTTATTGGCTACATATTAGATGGGCTAGGACTTGGACACAGTGATATTTTCACTGCAATCACCGTTCTGAGCAACGAACGCAAAGGTAACCCTACCTGAATTCTACTCTTACTTAATTGCTCATGAAGGTCAGGCCAAAGCTATGGGGAATACTATTGAATTTACCTCTTCCGCCAACACCGCCTCTCGTCAAGATGCAAACAACCCTCCTCGTCACAACAGTCCCAACAACAATGGGTACAACAACCACTCCAACAACTACCAACGAGGAAATTATCGAGGGGGAAGTGGACGTGGACGTGGACGCGGACGCGGTGGAGGACCAAGGTGCCAAGTTTATGGCATACCTGGTCACATTGCATTGAATTGCAGAAACAGGTTTAATCATGCTTACCAGACTGAAAAACAACAACATCAAAGCGGCAACAGTGTGACAGGAGGAAACTATCATCCCGATAATCCATGGTGGTTGGACTGTGGAGCCACTGATCACTTGACTCGTGACTTGGATCGTCTCATTGTGCAAGAACGATATCATGGAAAGGACCATGTTCAAGTTGCAAAATGCTTTGTCAATTTCACATATTGGTCATTTTCTATTACCCGGTTTAGGTCGACCCCTTGTTCCCAAAAATGTTTTGCATGTTCCTAAAATCAACAAACACCTATTGTCTGCTCAAAGGCTTGTTTCTGATAATCATGTTTTTATTGAACTCTACCCTAATGTTTTCTTTGTTAAGGACATAGCAACGAAGAAGGTGCTTCTATTCGGTAGAACCAAAGGGGGTATGTATCTTGTTCCAGTCACTCGTTCCTCAGGTCACTCCCGTCAAGTCTCCTCAAGTGTCAAGGTCTCCTCCTCACAGTGGCATCAACGATTCAGTCATCCAACACCTACTATTGTCAAGTCCATTTTACATTCAAATAAACTAGATTATTTATCTAGTGAGTCAAGTGTCTGTGACGTGTGTCAACGTGCAAAAAGTCATCAATTACCTTATACAAGTTCGAGTCGTGTCACCTCTACTCCACTTGAGTTGGTTCATACCGATGTTTGGGGACCATCTAAAGTATCTAGTGGAGGGTTTAAATATTATGTCAGTTTCTTGGATGATTTTAGTAGATACACTTGGATTTACCTTATCAAAAATAAGTATGATGTTGAACAAGTTTTTTATAACTTCCAAAATCATGTTGAGCGTCTTTTGAAAGCTAATATTTGTTCTGTGCAATTTGACTTGGGAGGAGAGTATCAGAGATTACATAAATATTTTCAACAAGTGGGCATCACTCATTGTGTCTTTTGCCCACACACATCAGCACAAAACGGAGTTGCTGAGCGCAAGCACCGCCACATAGTTGAGACAGGCCTAGCGCTCTTAGTTCAGTCATTTCTCCCCCTTCGTTTTTGGGATGAGGCTTTCTTAACTGCTTGCTACTTGATCAATAGAATGCCTAGTCGAACCATAAACAACACAACACCTATTGTTCGATTACTCAAAATTAACCCTGACTACTCGTTCTTATGTGTTTTTGGATGTGCATGTTAGCCGAATTTGCGAAAATACAAAACCAAAAAACTCATGTTTCGATCTAAATTGTGTGTCTTTCTAGGCTATAGCTCAATTCACAAAGGTTACAAATGTCTAGACAAACTCACTGGCAAAATATATATTTCTCGTGATGTTATTTTTTGAGGAAACACAATTTCCTTATGCCACTGCCTCTTGTTCTTCTGTTCCTTCTAGTGAGGCTTCATCCACCTCGTTTCCTCAGGCTGAACCGGCTATATTAAATGACCATATGCAGAATTATGACTTGTCACTCCACTCATAGCAACTGAAGTCACCTCAGAACTCCCTTCACCTTCACCGCCAGAAGTTTAACCAGAGACACCTCCAACTTCACCGACTTCTCCTGCATCCACAGTTCTATCTCCTGTCGGAGAAGCTCCAGCTGATCAAAGCTTGACTACTTCAGCAATGAACACTAGAGGACGAGCTGGTAAGGTATTTCCTCGAAAATTTACTGATGGTATGTTTTGCTATGATCCAACCAAGCTTGCGTTTTCAGTGACCACTCCCACTTCTTTTCGTGTCGCTTTGTCATCTCCTGATTGGCGAGCAGCCATGAAGGCTAAGTTTGCTGCTCTCCAATCCAACAAAATGTAGACTCTTGTACGACGTCCCACAGGTGTCAATATCGTTGGCGGCAAATAGATCTTTAAAGTCAAACATCATCCTGATGGCTCCATTGATAAGTATAAAGCACGTTTGGTAGCTCTTGGTTTTACTCAACAATATGGGATAGACTACCATGACACGTTTAGCCGGGTGGTCAAGCCAGCCACCATACACTTAGTCCTCTCTCTTGAAGTATCTCGTGGATCGCACATGCGTCAAATCGATGTCAACAATGCCTTCTTGCACGGTTTCTTAGACGAAAATGTTTATATGCAGCAGCATCCTGGTTTTGAAGACACTAGTCGTCCACAGTTTGTATGCAAGTTAAACAAAGCGCTTTATGGTCTCAAACAATCACCACGATCCTGGTTCTCTCGTCTTAGTGAAAAATTACATCACCTTGGTTTCCACTCTTCCAAAGCTGATACTTCATTGTTCATCATGCAAACGCCTACTATTACCATCTACCTGCTTGTTTATGTAGATGATATCGTCGTTGTTGGGTCGTCTCCTACAGCTATTGATCACCTCTTTCGCACACTGTCTTCTTCCTATCCTATTAAAGATCTAGGTCATCTAACTTATTTCTTGGGAATTGAGGTATTCACAATTTAGGGGGAATAACTCTTGTGCAACACAAATACGCCTCTGATCTGCTTAAACGGGCTAATATGATGAATTGTAAAAGTATTTCAACTCCCATGTCAGTAACAGATAAGCTTGCTTAAGATCTTGTTAGACCTCTTAGTGACGAAGACGTTTTTAAATATAAAAGTTTAGTGGGTGGTTTGCAATATCTTACGTTAACTAGGCC